GTCGATGGGATTTGAACACCCAACCTACCACTTGGGGGGTTGACAACCTGACCACTTCACTAGGTCGCCACACCCCTGATATTTAAATTATTTATAGTTTTTATTATTTTTTATTTATATTTATTAATTTTATATTTATATTTTATTTTAAACATAATAGTTACAAAATAGTGATATCTATTATAAGAAATTAAAAATTTATTATATGCTCAAACTATTGAATCTAAAATTTATATTTAAAGTTTTTTTAAAGATATATTTTGAAGTTTAATAGGTAATCCATTTATACTTAATTTTACAAGTTCTAATTTTATATTATAAAAATCATATAAATTAAGTAAAAATTCAATATTATTATAAATGTCAAAAACTAAAGTTTAAAACTTTTATTTTTTTTGTATTTTAGATTTAAGTTTATTTATTTGAATTTGAACTTGTAATTAGTTATTATTATTAATTTATTTTTTATTCAAACATTCAAGGTCAAATTCAAAAAATATTATACTAAAAAATACTAATTTGTTATTATTATATAATTTTTATTTATAAAATATATAGTAAGTATTATATTATATATATAAAATAATTATTAAATTATTAATACAAATTTATAAAAATAAAATTACTATATTGCTTACTGGCTTATTACTTAATGCAGATTATTTTTTTTATCTTGACTATTCCAAGTTAATATATATATTATTTTATTATTTAGATTATATTAAGTTTTAACTATAATATCTATATTATAAATATTAATACTAACTAAATCTCTATTAAGAATTAAATAATAACTGTAATATTTGTTTAACATTTAGCAGATAATAACTAAGATAAAAAATTTTATATAATATTTTGTTTTTTTATTTCTATTATATCTAGCTATATAAATATTTAAATAATTATTAGTAATTTTTAAGAAATTAGTTTGTATATTTTTTAATTGTTGAATTTTTTAAAAAAAATTATATGTTAAAGGATAATATTTTGACAAGTCTCTAGTTAATAAATAACAAACTAAAGAAATTCTTTAAAGCCTTTTTGAACTAAACAGTATTTTGTATTTTTTTATACTTTTAGATATTTGTATTTAAATTAATCACATTATTGACAATATAAATTATTGCATATTCAATAAAAGCTAGTAAAATCTAAATTATTTATACATGTATTTGATTGTTTTTTAATTGTGTTGTTTGATTGTTATTTGTAATGATAGGTTACTGACTTTTTTTGTATTGCTATAATTTTATTTACTTCTTTACTTATATTATTTAGTTATAAAAGATACTATTAAAAATGAATATAATAAAATAAATACTTAAATTAATTATATTGATTTAAATACTACTTATTCTAATTTTATTGATGAAATTCATTTTTACCTTATCTCTAACTTTTAATCTTAGTTATTAATTGGCTAAAAAAAACGAATTGTATTAATTGTTATTAAAAATCTTAGAATTGTTATTTAAAAACATCACACAAACTATTTGATTGACAAGATTTGTTTTTCAAAATTTGAAAATCTTAATTATATTACTCTCAAATATTACTTAAGTCAACCATATAATTTAAAAAAATGCAACATTCACAAATAACCAATCATTACAAAAGTTGTTTCTGTTTCAAAAAAATATTAGAAAGTTTAAAAATAATCTCTAATTTAAAAAAGGTTAGCTTAATAATGACTTTTGAAAATACATAAGTAAAAAGAAAAAAAAACATCATCCTGATTTTAATATGCCAAGACAAAATAGTTACTAATAAAATTTTGAGAATCTTCTAGATACTTATTTTATTATTTATTAGTTTTGTATTTATTGTTAATTTCAAATAATTTTCATTTTCTTTTTTTTATTAATTTAATAAATAATAAAAAATTTAAATTTTGTCATTTTGATGTCATTATCAAAAAAATTTTAAGTTTCTTCATTTTAGTGTCATTATCAAAGAAATTTTAAGTTTCATTGTTTTGGTATCGTCATCGAAGAGATTTTAAGTTTTCATTGTTTGGTGTTGTCATCGAAGAAATCATCATTTTGGTTTTGGTGTCATTGTCAAAAGAAATTTTAAGTTTTCATCATTTTGGTGTCATCATCGAAGAAATCATCATTTTCGTCATTTTGTGTCATTATCAAAGAAGTTCAAGTTTCGATTATATGGCTTGATTTTATGATTTTAGTATTATTATTAGATAATTGTTAGTATATTTCATTATATTTAAGTTTTCAACATATGTATTCACAAAATAAAATTAAAAACTTTGAAATTTTGTTTATTGAAAATTCAAATAAAAGAATAAATGCTTATATGATTTAATTTGTTAAAACATTAAAATTGGTAATACTTTTTTTTTATATATAAATCAACGAGTGATACGTAGTAAAATATATAATAAAATTCAAGCCGCAATAACTCTTGAACTAGCAAACCCACACAAATAAATACTTTTTAAAGTAATAAAGCTCTTTTTTTTTTGTTTTCTTATCGGATATCCGATATTTTCCAATATTTTCAATCAAATTTAATCTTGCTTGTAAAATCTACATAGTTCCGAAGGTAAATTTTCCTAGCAAAGACTTATATAACATTAGCGACAATAAGTGTTTCGGCTACATTCTTTAAAAGACTATTCGGATCCTAACATTAACGTTAACGTATTTGATTAATAATTCGGATTTAAATAATGGCATTATATTTTTTGACTCAGAAATTCTAGACAATTTTAAACTTTTATTATCGCATGCTCTGATTAGAATCCATCGTTAAGTTAATAATAATGAACCCTAAAAATGCTAAGTATCTCTATAACATTCATTATTGTAAATCATGATATTCTTGTAAACTAATAAGATTGTTATAGTTTGATATTTTGGAGATTATCGATATTATGTATAAGCAACTGTATTTCCTGAAGAATTAATATAATGTATATTTGTGAAATAAAAGCACAGGCATCAGGCCGTAGTCTTAAGTAATATTTATGGTCGTTATTTCGCCAATATACGATCTTGATAGTAGTGGAATGATTAAAATTCAAATTATCACTTAATTCCTTTCTTTCACTAATTATATTAAAATATATAATATATTAACTCCGACTGGCCTAGTATTACTAAAAATTTTAATAATAAATTTTAATAGTAAATCTAATAATAAATGTTATTATGTAATATTTTTGTCCTTTTTTTTTAATAAGGTAATTCTAGATAGCTTACATTTTTTTGTTTCTTTTTTTTTAAAAAAAAAAATTAAACTATAAACTATTTAATTAATTTATCTCACTTAAAAGTAATAAATTGGAGTGCAATTGATTTTCCCTTGATAAACAACTTTAGCTTTGTAAGTAGTTGCGTCCACAAATTCAAACGACATTTCATCACTATTACTCGTAATTTTAACATGTAAAAACCCTAGAGTTCCTTCAGGCATTCCCCAATCTTTGCCACTACAACCACCACTTGATCGACTTCCCGCTCCAGAAGTAAATATTGCAACAGGTGATGATGGTTTCGGATGCTGATATTCTAGAACATGAGTGTGGCCACCAAAATATGCATTTATTCGGTAATGTTCAAAAAGTGACAATAAACGGGGCATATATCTGTTTTTTGCACAATCACCAATAAGTGGGTGATGACCTGATTTTCAAGATATAATATTAATAACATTTAAATTTACATCAAAACAAAGTAAAAATAACATACCAACAACGAAAATCCATTTAGCATCTCCTTGAAATGCTAAATTTTCTTCAATCCAATTTAATCTATCCTCAACAGCTTCTGAAGTATGTACACCAAAATTATGAAGATTACTTTTTAATAAATTCTTTTTGGTTAAAGTCTCGTATTCATAATAAAATATACTAGTATCAATATGGATCCATGCCACTTTAGTTTTTTCTGGTCCAAACACCGAAGTGCGAACGTAGAATAGAGAAGGAAGAAAAAATCGATTATTTCTTGACCAATAATAGTCAACTTGAGCTGTTATATTGTTATACCAATCATGATTTCCAGCGACGCTGTACCAAGGTATTTCTGATAATCTTCCCTTGTATACATCTAACCAATTTTTTTTCCATTTTGGATCGTCAATACTTTTCACTCCTTGATGATCTTTTTTGAAATTTTTATAAAAACTGTCTAAAGTAAAATGAAAAATATGCATAAAATATAAAATAAAATAAATCGGGTTAATAGTTAATATGTTTAATACAATTTGAGTGCAAATCAGAGAATGACGAACTTACCACCAACATTAACGATAAAGCTAGTATTATATTTTTTTGCCCAATTATCCATAGCGAAGGCAACATGGACTTGATCACCATGTTTTCGCCCGGTACCATTTGCATTAAATCCCCAATCACCAAGTACAATAAAATCTAATGTCGAATCAACATATGCTTCTTCAAACACTTTTGGATACGGTGATGCTATCGTAAAATTTAATTCTTGGGTGTAAGTACTTGTTGTATTTGTTGTATTTGTTTTTAAGGAATTTTTGGAATTTTTAAATATGGAAAAGGAGTACAGTATTGAGAGAGTTGCTATACACATAAATATTATCATTAATGAAATTATTAACTTAATTAGTCCCCTTGACATTATGTTTGTAATTTTTTAGAAGAAAGAAAATATCTATGTATATGCAACGGCAATCCATTTGATTTGTTAATAAATATACTTAGCTATTACTAGAACTAATATGGTAATTTATTTCAAATTTAATCAGTGAAATAAATGTGTATTTTTAGACATATCGATATACGTACTGTACGCACGTCGTACGTTGCGCCCCAGCAACATGTCATATGACAAAATCCATATTAATAAATTTTTAATAATAAGAATTATTGGTCATATTTTTTAGACAAATAACAATTCAGAAATTATTTTATAAGGATCTATTATTTGTTATTCATCTGATAATTAAATTGATAAATTTCGAACATGTTTTAAAGAAATTTTTTGTTTATCTTATAGTCAAGAAATAGTTACATTACCAAAATAATGAATTTAATCATATAAAGCTAGTACAGTCGTACCTGAGTTATATTTCCATTTTTTGCTTTGTGCTCTTTCGATTTGGTAATTGGCTTAACCTGTCACAGGTTCAGGACGTGCTGTATATTTAGCAATTATATTTCGCACATTATGCAATAACCGTATTGCATTACAATAAAAAATATACTTATTTGTTTTTTGAGTTTTAGAAAATTTATAGTAAAAATTCTTTTAAGACTAAAGATTTGTACAACATTAACATAATGAGAAAAGAATGTTCTAGAAAACTAATAAAATATAAGTAAGTTACAACAACATAACCAAGTGCAGGTTGATATTTAAGTTAATGAACTTAAAATTTAATTTTGATAATTATTATTATAAAATAATTTTTTTTAAAAAAATTAACTATTTATTTACTTACTATACAGTAGTAATTTAATAATATAGAAATTAGTTTTCTATAAAAAAAATATATAAAAACAAATTTATAATAAAGAATTTTAATTATTTTTATATTATTAATTATAGACTTTAATGGAACTATAAAATGTCTTACTTTATATATATATTATATATCAAATATTTAGTTATAAAAGTAAAATTTTAAACCCAAAAGTAATTAATAATAATATACAGGATACTAATTTATAAATATAACATAATATATTAAACTTATTACAGATAAAATTTTTAAATACATATACTAATTTGAAATTTTTTTTTTTTTTTTGGTATTAAGATGACCTCTTTGGTCTTTTGACTTTTATTAATTACTTATCAGTATTGTGGTTCAATAAACCATTACAAGAGAGCATACAATTGGCTACATGTATAACTTTTCTATATTACCTATTTAAGGAGTCTGCCCGAAGGTTTCTTATCAATTGCTGTACTTAACACCTCTGCTTGGATGTTTTATTTTAAATCCTCTAAACCTGTAATCTGTGTTAACATCACTGGTCATCTCAGATGTACCAGATCATCATCCTCAACTTTAGGACTAGTTTATCCTTAAGGTAAACTCCCTAAAGCCTTCTGTACCCATTTTTACAACTGACTTAGATATTGTTATGATAGAATCAACACTTGCAGTCAGGGCTAACCATTAAACCACTATGCCTTTGTAGAGTTCACTTAGACCTCAGCATCTATTTTATAGTATAACTTTGGTACTTTAGTATACCCCTGCCTTTTGTTTAACCTTTTTACCAAACTACCAATCCAGATAGCCCATGTAGGATTATGACTAGTCTATTGGTATATCAGATCAGCCCGATATTCTTTTCTTCTGGTTTGTTTCAACACTCTGATTGGTGGTACCCTCAAGACTTCCAACCTGGAGGTTCTTGCCTGTCCAGCTACTACGATCAGGTACTATGACCTTGGTATCTATTTCCCCAGACTAGCCTTTATAGTAAGGCTGTCAAAGATCCAACTACCTCTCTACTCAGTTCTTCCCAAATGAATTTCTTGTTACCCAATTTCAACAGATTTACATAGTCACAAGGACTTATCTAGTATTTGTACCGCCCAATTTGTCAGTTTGCATTTCTCTGTGTAATGTCATACTTACACAGATGCCCTATGACCTGCCAGTCATGCTGGTGCAACCACTATTACAGATATCCTAACCCAATTGTTAGTAACAATTGCCATAATACAAATATTACATAGGTGATTATCCAAATTTTCGCTATCAATGGGATTTGAACACCCAACCTACCACTTGGGGAGTTGACAACCTGACCACTTCACTAGGTCACCACACCCCTACTAATTTGAAATTTAAACAATTAAAGATTATAAAATGTATATATAAAAAATATATATACTTGTTATTATAAAAACTAAAGATAAAAAATCTTTTGTTATATAATGTTTGCAATTTTTTATAATTGTTTTACAATTGTTATTTTTAAAAAAATCTTTAATTCAAAACTAAGTAGTATATATAAATATTATAATAAAAAGTTAAAATTAAAATAAAGGAAATTGATATTTTTACACTTTTCTTTGATATTGCCACACTCCTGCATACTCTAAACTAACCAAAACCCTAATAATTTATATTGATTTTTATTAGCAGAGATGTGGCAATATCAAAAAAAGGTGTGGAAATATCAATTTCCAAAATAAATATATATTTTATAAACTTTTATTTTTAGAATTATTTTGTTAAATTAGAAAATTTATATTGTAGTTTGTTAATATTATCAAAATGAATAATCAAATATAAATCAAACCTTTTTAATAAAAATGATTTTTAGATTTACTCATTTGCTTTATATAACTTTAAAAAAATTAGTATATAATATAGGATAAATGTATACGTCGCATACTGCGATGTGCTTATACATCGCATATATTTACAAATTATAATTTAACAACTAAATAAACTAGTTTTTTGTTTAGTTAGGGTTAGGGTTATGTAGGATTAGATGCAATAAACGGAAAGAATTTATAATAAAAATTTTCAAGGAGTTTTTTTTGTTAGAGTACGAAAGATAGTTTCATATGTGAAAATTTGAGTTATAAGTGACTTTTGTCAAAGCGAACGTTTGTTTGAATCTTCCTGATCGTGCTACGTTACACCTGATATAGAAATTTGATTGGCCAATCATTAATATGCGATGTATAAGCACATCGCGGGGTTGCGACGCCTAACCTTAAATTTAGATAAAAATGTAAATATAACTATATAAAAATGATCCACATGATCCTACCCTTAAAAAATCCAATGAACATTCTGATGTGGATTAATGGTTAGAGCCCGCGGTCATGATGTCTCTACGAAATAAGTGATGTTCGACTCCGGCTGTGTACAATGTGATGCCCGTAAACCAAAGGCACAGTTTGAAACATCAGGGTGTGACTTGCGCAGATTTTTTTTTTTTTTTGTATAATCCCCTGATCACTATATCAAGGTCACGGGTGGATTAATTAATGTCGTGGATCATCCTAAAACCCACTTATACTTGTTACTAAATTCGAACATTTTATTGTAATACCTACAAAAAATACAAAAAAACCCTGTTTTTTATTTATTTAGTTAAAACTTACATTAAACTTTACAGATAAATTCATAAAGCATGATCAGTGATGGCTTAGCTATTTGATGTGATTAATCTGTGCGCACCTTAAAAAATTTGACTAGAATGCAAAGTTTCTCCAAACTTAAATTCATAAAGAACCCAACCTACAAAAAATTCGGTCATGCGATAGTTTTATCCTTAACATTAAATTGGCGGTCACTCGGTTTTATGCCGAATGCACGAAAAATTTCAATGTTAAAAACGCATCAAAGTATAAAAACAAATTATTGTCCAGGATGTGGTTCAATATTTCAAACTGAAGATCAGAAAAAGCCAGGTTATTTAGTCGTTCCTTCATCAACTCCCAAAAAACCTAAAATTAAAACCAGTTCAAATCAATTAAATAATGAAGAGATTGAAAAGATTATCAGATTAATGCCAGATGATATAAAAAAAAAGCTCTATCCAGCAGGGGAAATTGTAGATACAGATTCATTGGAATCGATGGAAGAACGAAATGAAAAGCAAAAGGATGAAAGGATATTTTGTCATCGTTGTTATAATTTACTCAACTATAATCGTGTGACCACTGATACGTGGCAAGAATCATTGACTACCGATAAATCAATATTATCATTTTTGAAAAAGAAGGAAGATGCTGTAATCGTCACAGTAGTAGATATTTTTGATTTTCCAGGGTCACTTTTAGAAGACCTTGATATTCTAATCGGTACGGATAAACAAAATATTTTAGTTGCAAACAAGATGGACCTCCTTCCTAATGACGTAAATGAAATGCGAATCAAACGATGGTTATATGAGAAATGCAAAAAATTTGGTCTTACAAATATCAGTGACATATTTCTAATAAGCGCAAAAAAAAATTGGAAAATTCAAGAACTAGCACAAACTATGTCCACAATTAGAAGTGGATTTGACGATATTTATCTTATTGGAAAAACGAATGTTGGAAAATCTGAATTAATTAATAGTTTCTTAAGATGTTTGATAGTTGATGGGTGGCGACATAAAGTAACATCATCACCAATACCAGGTACAACCATGGGAATGTTAGGATTACCGTTGACATTATTCAAGGAAACTTTTGGTGTTAATCCGAAAGGATTTCATTTTCCTCAAACAAGCAAACATTTATTTGATACTCCAGGGATCATAAATAAGAATCAATTGATCAATCTTTTGACTGAGGAAGAATTAAAAATTACCATTCCCCAAAAGTATATTAAACCGTTAACGTTCGCCTTAACACCTGGTAAATCAAAATTTATGTAAGTTATGCAAATTTATCCATGATCGAGACTTATCATCTTTTTTTATTTTTATTAAATAGGAAAAACTGTATTTTTGGAAGGTCTAGGACGGATAGATTATGTTGATGGGCAGAAACCGATTCGTATCACTGTATTTAGTAGATTAAAGCCTCATCTCACATCTATGAGACGAGCAGACGAAATATGTCAATCTATGGCTGTAGGCGATCAAACATTTTTACAACCACCAATATTTTCATCAAAGAGAAAGGAATTATTCCCGGCAATGATTAAATGCATAAAAAATTATGCAATGAAAGGTACACCAGGAACAATGAGTGTTAAAGATGTGGTATTTTCGGGAGTTGGATGGATCTCATTTGGTGGCATGTTCGATAAGGCTGTTATTGATATTTGGTCGCCCAATGGAATGGGAATTTATATTAGAGATAAACCTTTGTTACCTTTTGAATTTAAAGGTAAGTATGAAAGTTCTAAGCTATATTAGAAATATTTCCCAGTGTCAAGAATCTAGATAATGCAAATCATTTTCAAATCTGATTATTGTAATAAGAATTATAGCAAAGATAAGTATTATAACAAAATTTAAACAAATTATAAATATAAATAGATTTATATCATGTAACACCCTAATAAGTGCACTTTTTATAAGTGTATATTCTTTTTAAATATTTATAATTATCTGTTTCATATTCAGTTTTATTTAAAATTACAATTGCACCCCTAAATGCACACTCTAGGGACCGGATATAATCGCTTAAGTAAACTTGTTCGAAAGGTCAAAATACACATATTCGGGAATTTTTATCAATATTGAAGAATGTTTTATTATTTGACTTTTAATTTTTATATTACAATTTTGATAAAAATTTCAGTACATATGTATTTTGATCTTTTGAACAGGTTTACTTAAGAGATAATATTCGAATTACATAGTAAAATTTAAACTGTACTATGTAATGACTATTTGAGATTGATCAAAAATCAATTATATACTAACATTTGCTGTGAAGAACTCTGGTATTATTATTGGTCAGCTTTACATGCATGCATTTAGAAAGATGCATATATATATGCTTAGACTCTAAAAACTTGTGCACGTGCAGAATATAGAGGGTATTTAAGTCCCAAGCTTGGGATCAGGTTGTAGTGTACATATAGAAAAGGTGTGCACTTAGGAGAATGTGACTGTATTTATAAGAATATGGGGTTGAGTCAGTAGAAATCAAGCAAATTGTTTTTATTGAATTTTTTTAGCAACTTTAAATGCTAATATTTTAACAAAAACTTGATCAAATTTAATAAAGGTTTTTTAAAATAAATTCTAAGTTTATAAAACTCATTTAAAAAAAAAAATTATTAAATTTGATTAAGTTGTTGTTAAGTTATTATTATTCAAAGTTTTAAAAAAAATTACTTAGAAAAAATTTGTTTGATTTTTACTAACTCAACCTCATATTATTATATTTTAATATTTTATTATAAATTTGATTACTAAATTTATAAATATTTTTTGTTTAAATTTTGATATAAATAATTTAAAAGACAAATCTTAGTTAAAGAGTATAATAATAGCAAAATTAATAATAAAAATTGCCAGAAGTTAATATAGTTTTTCTATAATGTTGGAATGCAGATATTTTACAATAAAAAATTTTTTTTATGCCAAGTAAACTTTTTTTGAGTTTCTAATAAAGATTATAAAATAAGTCATTTAAGTTCTAATAATAGTATAATTATTCAAATTGGTTTAGTAAATTATGAGCTATTGACATTTTCTTCTTTATAACTATATAATTTTAAGAATGTAGTAATTTAGTAAAATAAATAAGTTGTTAACCTTCAAGTAGTAAGTTATAAGTTCAAAACTTACTAATTATGAAAATTTGGATAATTACTTATATAATACATAGACAGTATTATGCTAATAGCATTTTGTCAATTAGTTAGAATAAAATACTTATAACTATGATTGTACTAACATAATTGGCAGGTTATAAGATATCTGTGTAATTTAGTTACATAGAGAAATACAAACTGATATTGGATAATACAAACCTAAAATAAATTCTTGTAATTATATAAATTTGTAAAACTGAAAAAAACTGAAACTCATTTGAAAATTCTGAATAGAAAAATAATGCAGATCTTCAACAGTACTACTGTAAAGATTAGACCTAGGAAACAGATACTAATATAAAGGAATTGGATAGGTAAAAATCTTGGGTAAGAGGTACCATCAACCAAACTGACAAATTTAAATCAAAAAAAAGGATATTAGACCAGACTTGATATATCAAGGACAGGTTACAGTTCTTTTGAACTATCTGAATTAAAAGTTTAAGGACAAAGTAAGGATATACTAAAAAAAGTAGTAGAGATATATTATGAAGTTAATGTTAGAGTCTGAGTAAACTCTATAAGAATAGCCCTTGTTAATGTTTTTTAAAAAATATATAAGTAGTTAACAAAGAAGGTCACCTGCATTTTACTGACTGATATTATGTTTTAAAATATATAATAATTTTGAAACTAGTGTAAAAAGGATAGGTATCATACTGCTTAGACAATATACTGATTAAGTATATATAAAGGATATAGTGGTGTTCATAATTGATGAGTGGATAATTAGAGAGTTTAAAATAGATAATCTTCTAGTAGATTATAAATATAACATTTAGTCTAAAACTTTAGAGTAAACTACTTAAATAGGCAACCAAAAGTTGCATATGTGACTAGTTGCATTTTCTTCTCTGTAAAAATAGCATAAACTAACATCAATAAAAGTCAATAAAGTTTTGCCATAAAGTATGACCTTTAAAAAAAAAAAAAAAACTATAATTTTTACATAATGCTAGAAGCTTTTGGTATTCCAATATTATATGAAAGTAATAGAAATCTTTACTAATTTTTATTATGAAATTTATACCCTTCAACTGTGATATACTGCTTAATCATTTTTTAAAAGTACACAAAACTTCTTTTCTTTATTTCTTTTTTTTTATATCTTGTTACTAACTCTTCTTATTTTTTAATTCAAGAAAATCATTAACCTTCTTATATTTCAAGGATTTAGATATATTTTCTGCACCTTTTTGAAGTTTCTGTCTGGGAGAAACGAATTTCTTAAAGGTGGCATTTTACATCTGCTCTAAATTTACAAAATTATGCTATTATCATCATCAAAATGGTTTTTAATTTGCGATGAAATAAGTGATTGTAAAGCTACTAAAGCCTGCTTAATAAGTGAAACATCGCATTCCAGTTTAGCAATAGGATCAATTCTTTCTTTAATACTCTGCTCTAGTTTCGCAAATCTGACCTCAATGTCTTTTTTATTCTGTTTTAATTTTGTTTTCTTAGTCTTGATCTCAACGTACTCCTTTCTAAACTCAGAAATCTCAGCTAAGAGTCTCGAATTCTAAATCAATTTTAGATGAATCTTGGGATTTGCCTTTGCCATTGTATTTATATAAAATGTGAATATATTCAAAAGTTTGAATTTATCTTTCATAGAAAGTATACTTTGTATATGCATATATATAAAAAGTCATATGATAAAACTGTGAAGATTAAAGTTATACAAAATTCTTGAGTATATAACTGAAATATATATGCAAAAGTAACTGTATTTATATATGTGAAATCAAGCCACCAGCTTTATTGATATAAAAATAAAGATAAAAAATATATATATAAAACATGCGATTCTTAACTATTACTCATTTATAAAAGAATGTTTTAGAGTAGATACAGTAATATTTGAACTTGAACATGGTTTTTTGAGACATTCTGATCTAATTCTTAATAAATTAAATAATAAAAATATGCTAACAATCATAACATTTCGTAAAAGCAATAATGCTTCTACAAATTGCAACACATCTTCTTCATTACATAGTCATACGAAAATTTTTACTGATCAAAGGTGAAAAAGTTGATGAATGTCATCATTTTTTATAAAGATATTTAAGTGCATCATATCTTCCGCAACCTGAATATCAAGAATTCAAAATTTATTTCTGGCAGGTCTGCAATTTCTATAAACATAACACAATCTGTTGTTCATTCCATGCCATAATTTCACTTCATCATCTTTTTTTTTACGCTTAGCGCATATTAGACGCAAGCATTCGACATTCTATTTTTTCATAATACATCTCTAAAATCATTATGTCAGGTTGTATACATCTTTCTCTTCCGTCTGTGCTTGCCAAACTTTGCCTTTCAATACTAAACAAAAAATATAAATTAGTTAATCCTAGTTTATCTAATTTAAAATAAAGTTTATAAAGCTTACCTGCATATTTTTAATCAGAAACTTGTTTAGTATGGCATGAATGAGAGGAACTATTACATCAGTTGCATATGTCCCTCACTCTGGACACTTGCAAACTCGACGTTAAAAGCCAGATTCCTTCAAATACTATTTAAAGAACCGAGAATATCTTCTGCAACATTTGCTAGAGTCACCTCATCTTCTTTCTAAGAATTATCATGAGAAAGCTTTCGTGATAAACCCTCCATATCATCATCATGAAAACTTTCCACAAAGTTAGTACATATATTTCGAATATTGGGAGGTATTTCTACCTGCATCTTATTAAAATATTTATTTGACGTCTCTTCCAGGTTTTGAACTAATTTAGACTTGTCGCTTATCACCTGACTAGCAGTGGATCATGCTGTTTCAAATCTTTTGTTGATAAATTATTCAACCTCTCAAGTAATTCTAGAGCATGATCAGAGGAACTTTGCTAAAAAAAACGATTGAAATGCGAATTTCTTTGTAAATATTTAGCACAAGATAACTCAGTTGCATAATTAGTGCATCATACTTACTGAAAGTTTCGTTTTTAAGTCGCCTATATTTTCAGCAATTTTTTGCTTGCTAAGACGAATTTCTAATTTCACCTCTTTTACATTGTTAACATTGCGAACCCTTCAAAGCATCATTAAACTGGCGCAAAAAAAAGAGATATATGCTAGATTTCTTGCTAATACATATATATTTAGTTTAATAAATTGAAATTTCATGTAATTGAATACCGGCCTAAATCCGATGGATCCGACCCGGGAATTTTGGGATCCTTCTGTAAAAATTATAATTCCTGGAACACCTAATAAAAATTGACCGAATGATGATATACAATTTATACGTATGCGTACGTACCTGACCATGCCGAAATCAATAACTTAACCGAATTGGCCGAAAAATCATTTGGTCAATTTTTATCAAGTGTTCCAGGAATTATGAAAGTAGCTGTAACAATACTAATTTTTAAATTAAACTTTTTATACGTATAGACGGTTTTTGTTTTTGAAAAAAAATATCTAAGACCATGCAAAATTAATAACCGGCTGGATCAAAATTTGAATACTTGTAAAAAAAAAAAAAAAATTTTTTTATATGTTTTACAGCTGTTTTCATAAATTCCGGAAAATCTGGCAAAAATTGACAGACCGAATATTTGCCGATTCGATATGTTTTGATAAAACTTTTGGTTCGGATGTAATCACATCCGAATCACAAGTTTGTCACTGCCGAATCAAAACTTATCGAATCGGCAAATATTCGACCGGTCAATTTTTGCTAGATTTTCCAGAATTTATGAAAAAGTTGGCCGGGTCTGTTTAAGAAATTTCATGAAAATCAAGAAATTAAATTTGTGTGGCCTAACTTGTAATTTTAAAAAACATTTTTATTTATTATTCTATAAAGTTATTAATAAAAAAAAAAAAAAGTAAATTATATAATTGTAAAAATAAACATCCCAGCAATATATTGTAAATGGCGTAAAAACTATTTGCAGCACTTTCAAAAGTATTTTCGACAAATATGGTTAACGAAAATATTTTGGCAATTTAATAATGCTAAAAATACTTTCGGCAAAATCACAATAGTTTTCTACGCCATGTATATATCTGCTGGAGGCGTTTAAAATAGACAATAAATGCGTTGAGATGTTTCAGAGGTTGAATCTGATAAGTTAATAAATCATATAACTACATATGTACTAGTAGATATTGTGCGAAAGGTTAGTAAAAAGAACGTTCCAGAATTAATACCCAGTTTTGGTAAAAATCCCTGATAATTTGCTTAACTGGGCAAATGATCGATTGACACATGCTACATAACGATCTGAAAATATGCATGAAACTGTGGAACGCGATCTTGAGATGAAATTATCATCTATTTTTCGAATGAGTCGTTCAACTACTTTCGGGACTGTTGTTCAGTCTTATTATTCGAAGACAAAACATGTTATTATTAAGGATTTTTTGAAAATTTATTCATTAAAGCAAATTCGAAATATTAATAGGTTTATAATATGTTTAAAATTGATATAATGGTATCATGAAACTGGAATTAATGTTCTATGTCTATGTTTTTTTTTTTGCCAAGCACGTTGTTTAATCTTCATCAAAATTCATCACAAGCGGAGTCATTCACGCCTAATCCTTCCTCATCTCAATATTCGACAATTAAAGAGCAAGAGATACTCAAATTTGGGCAGTTGGCAAAAGAATGGTGGTCACCAAACGGACCCGTAAAGTTGTTACATAGTATGAATCCATTAAGGATATCATATATTCGTAAACAATTATCAAAGCATAATCATAAAGGAGAATTATACAAGGGACAAGAAAACGGGTACGAGACAGCACCTTCATGTGATGAGCAAATTCCATTTAAAGATTTGCGAATTTTGGATATCGGTTGTGGTGGTGGCGTTTTATCTGAGGTATAATTATATTTAAAATTGTAATATATAAATTTATTTATGGACATATTATTTAAGTAAACACATGCATGCAATTAAATTGTAAAGTCGTTGGTTAGATTGGGTGCATCAGTAGTAGGGGCTGACGCGTCTCCGGAAAATATTCAAATAGCAAGATTACACGCTAGAAAAGATCCAAGATTATATTCTGGACCTGGAACTCTTGAATATGAATGTATAACCGCAGGTATTGTATTTAAACAAATTTTAAAGTATCTTTATTGATTTATCTTATTTGCATTTGGTTTTTTTTTTGTATTTCAAGAAAAATTGTTAGAGAATGGAGAATCATTTGATGTTGTGTGCGCGATGGAAATTATCGAGCATGTGAATCATCCAGCAAAATTTCTCAAAGCGTGTACTGAATTAGTTAAGGTACTTTCCATTATATCCCTTACATATTTAACAAATCTCTTTTTTAACGATTAATCTGATACCATAATTTTAATATCTAACCTCGTGATTTGTGTAACATGCAGCCGGGAGGTCATTTATTTCTTTCGACAATTTCTCGTACTCCGCTTTCGTATATCCTAACTATTTTATTAGCCGAACGTATATTTGGAATAGTGCCAAATGGGACACACGATTTTAAAAATTATTTAAGACCTGATGAATTGCAAGAAATTATTGAACATGTCCCAAATAACAACAGTAATGGTGATTTAAATTCTGAAACGGTTGAAAACCACGAAGGGGGTAGCAGATCTATTCAGGAAAGGGAACCCGGTAAATGGGGTCATGTTATTGATATTACAGGGATTGGAATTAATCCGATAACAGGGAAATGGTTCGAGTTTAACCATTGGGTACCAAGAAGGATACAATTAGATGTAAATTATCTATTAACCGCAAAAAGAAATTAACAAATGTGAGATCTACTTTTATAACAACATCTGAAGTAAGAACTAGTCCATTTATAGCATTAGATGAATATATACCATATTTAGTTAAATAAATTGAAATCTCTGATTTATTCATTGTATTCTAAATTTGGGTTAGAATTAATTTTTCAAAAAAATTTTTAACACTTGAACAATGTAAGATCACCAAAAGAACGAAACTTTTATTCTTTTTTTTTTTTTTAAAGAAAAAAAATGTAAAGTGCGCTTAATAAAGGTGTTTTTTTTTACAGTGATAAAATAGATGTGAGTCATAAGAAAATGATAGAGAAGAATCTTTGGTCTAAGTAGGAAAGCACCGTGGAATAATCAGAAATAATGTGATTCTACCCAATTAGAGCAATGGGAAAATAAATACATAAATAAAAGCCAACGTTTTTCGTCCAAAAAAAAAAAAAGAAAAAAAAAACTATATATAACAAATCTCAATTTCAGTCCTTACAGATCCTACCCTTTCGTTTTTTCCTTATTCACCAATAAAATTTAAACACCCTATTCTTATAGGAATAAAAAAATTTTTTTTTTCAATGCTACATGTCCCAAATTGAAATATCAACCAAGATATGAAAATTATTTAACATAAAAAAAAATCTAGAAAGATGAAAAATATTTAACGCACACATCATTTCAAAAAAAATGACTGGTCTAAAAAAATTTAAAATTATAATCCAAAAATAAGCTTCCAAAAATTCATCGAAATGATGTGATAGAAAAAAATAAAAAAAAGAAAGTATAATGTTTTTTTTTTGTTAACCCCTTCTCATGAAAAAAATAAACTATAAATGTATGTTGTGTGTAAGATGGAAGATTATGTAAAGGTAAATACAAAATTTGAAGAACATATACGTAGAAGTGTAATATAAAAACACACATAAACACACTCATTTGTATGGTTTTGACAATACATATAATGATTCGTGTAATATGTTACATATTATGTGTGCAATAGGATAGGGAAATAAAAAAAAAATAATAATAATACAATATAATTTGTACAATAAGTATTTAATCTTGAGCAATTGTGAATGTGGAAAGTTGTTTATTTATGATGTGTTTTGTTGAAGGGAAAGGGAAATTAACGATGTAAAGTGTAGCGTATAAAGATAGGACGCGTTGTTGTCTAAATTTGAAAGAATTGAAATAAAATCTTATGATAGAAAAAAAAGAATCTAAAACTCTGGTAATCAAAATCACCAATTGTTTGCAGATTTAAATCTAAAGAAATAATGAACCCCCTAACAAACCTTAGGTTTATATAACAATAAATTGCATAAGCAAAATAGAAAAATCCATATATGTTCGTATAAAACATTTTGATATTATGGTTGAAGCGAATGCAAGAAAAAGGAAATTGTTGAGATCAAATAAAATCACAAATGAATATCTTTATTCTTTTTCCTGTTTTCTACCTTGTAAAATGCGGAACTAATATGTGTTGAGTTAGGAAGTTCTCCTTATCGAAACTCGAAAGATGGAAAGGAGTTGTCTGCACAATGATGCAGCTTCAATTCCTGGAACCTATTTAATATATTTAAAATACAAAAAAATTAACAAAATTAAGCATCTAAGCAGCTATTTATTTCAACATTTTTGAATTGATCTAAGAAATCCGGCTTTTTTTAAAAAAAGCAAACTGGGCGTATATGATATTTCCAACATATCTTAATTTGTCTCATTGAGTCTTACTAAATGAAACTTAATAAGAAATAGATTCATACCTTTCCGAGGTCTTGTGGAAATAAAAGCCAGTAATAATGCCTGTGCTCAATTGATAGCAAATGTAATAGAATCCAGCGAAACTAGCACCATTAATGGTCTTAACTCGGTGATCAGGAACAAGAAAATGCTCCTTCCATCTCATAAAGATATAATCCTTATTGTGGAAATCGTAAACAAATCCATCCTTTTTCATATGCTTTTGAAGAGGACGGAATGCAGGGAAACGAATCTGTTGGATTTGTAAATAAGTATTAAAAAAAAAAACTTTTTTTTTTGAACATTTACAAACAAGATAATATATTAAATCATACCCAATGTTGCACGTCGACTTTGTCATCAGCATCCCATTTCTTCGTGAGAAAAGAATATTTGCGTCCAATAATTTCTGCCTCAAAGAAAGTGGTCAATTCAGGATAGTCTTCCGTAAGGCCTTTAATATGGAGGTAGCCACACAAAAATGACTCTGAAAGATCAACGTGCTGAGAGACCAAAGAAATATTAGCTAGTTGTATAATCTTTTACAGATGAGAACAGGATCTGTATGAACATTGACAGGGCTATAGTATGCAAATACAAAAATCCAATGTGATTCAACACAAATAAAAATTTTAGCATTTTCCCAACAAATAATCCATTCGTCGATAAAATTAATATCAATCTAATCATCTTAATTCCATATCAGCACCCATTCTTTTTTTTTTTTTTATCTGTTCACTTTTTTAATCAATTCTGATCTATTTTATATCAATATAGTCATCTTGTTTCTATAGCTTACCTGAATATGAACAGCAACATCGTAACTACTTCTCCCACTTCTTTGTTCACCTCTAAATTTTGAACCTGAATACAGTGAACACGTAGTAGTCGGCATTAACCTAACAGTCGAGATCTCTGTTGAGAGAGAAAGACGACGTTTTCTCTTTTGCAATAGTTGCTGTTGCTTAAAATGTTCTTGATATTTTTTTTGCTGTTCAGCATAGTGCTTATGAGATGGATCGAGACAAACACCATCGACGCACATACATTTGTCCGGCAAACCGTTAATGTTACCGTTGATGGGGCTCGTTGTTGAAGCAATTACGGGGTTAGAGAATACTGGCATTGTAGTAGAGAGAGGTTACGAATAAAGAATCGAAGATAAAAGTGGAGCTGGTCCTACGGAAAGGTGCTCTAAGTTGATATAGTGGTGATGGTTTAGGTGGCGAAGTTTTTTTTTTTTTTTTTTTATTTTTATATATGTATGTATATATAAAGAAAAAATTTTTTTGTGGAGCACAAAAATCAAGTGAAGCTCAACTAATGTCTACTATTGTTGCAGATATAATATTACTTTATAAGGTATCAGTACTATCTAGTACTATTCAGTACGTATGAGCTGATTAAAAAAGGGGGGCGGAAATAAGATGTTTAAGCCAAAAAAAAAAAGATTAGGAAAAAAAAATTTTCAGATGATAAATCTTCAAATGAATAAATCTTCGGACGAATAGAACTACGATTAAAGACCAAAAAAAAAAGGAAAAAAAACAAGTTTATTTCTAGATGTCGCGGTCGATGTTAGCAAATTTAGCAAAATTGTATACGGGAAGTTTGTTGAATGAAAGGTGAATGTTAAAAGTACGGTCTATGACTTTAAAATTACAGGTTAGGAGATACTAAAGAGAGGTGGAAGAGGTTAATATAATTACTGGTAAGTGGGATAATTAAAGTCGAAAAATGTTCATTGATGAAAAAAAAGAAATGTTCTGGCGTCCATAGTATTTATTTGCAACAAACAAGAAAAATGATCATGTGACATGTGCCTCGAGGTATAATGAGAAAAAGACAAGACATTATCTCAGATAATGGAATCATTGTAATAGCATAAACCTTTTTTGTACCTTCGCAATAACCTGCTATTCTCTTTCACATTTTAAAAGTGTCATTTATTCTTTTAATCTAAATTACCTTGAAAATGCAAACATAAGTTTGGTGCAACGTCGCATTGTTAAACATATAGCAATCGTCAAGGCATTATAATCTAATCGCTTGTTGATTTGTCGATGCTGCTGCTCGGCCGTCACCTCATTGTGCATTTCGTCGATTATTTTGAATGTCACAAGGTGTCAGATCTATGAAAAAAAGTTCGATCACACGCGAATAGAGAATCATGCTTGCAAGAAAGTCTTATTTATCATGAAATTAGTAAAAGATGCGCTCCCATTTATTATTTGACGTACGTATATGCAAGATTGCTTCCCACTTCCGTATTATTTAGGAAGCCAGTGCGCACCAATTATCAATCAAGTAGTTGCTCTTCAATTTGATAATGCTAAGATTTAATTGTATATAACCCTAATTAAATTTTAGAATTGATATCTTAAATTAAAAAATTTGAAATTCGTTTATATGTTTACTATTATATGTATACGTTCTGGAGAGTTTTTCGTCATATCAATCTAGTTTGTATATAAGTATATAATGAAATTTATCAGTTATACCAAACATGTATACGTAGAAGATTCAATATAACAAATTGACCAATAATATCGACGCACGTGATTAATCTCATTGACTGTAATTACTCTTATCTGTGCATAATGATAATACGTAAGTATAATTTATTATAATTACATATATGGTTTTAAATCTTGTTTACCTAGACCGTTTTCAAGCAACTCCTTCAATGTGATGACATTGTACGATTAATTGAAATTAATTGAAGGGATTCTTACAATTTTGCCAGAAATGCGAATTTATAGTTAATTAATCAGTTCTATGTAAAAAAGATGACTGTCTTTTTTTTATAGCCGAGTAGAGAAAGGTGTTTTTGAACCTAATGATTAAATTTATATAATTAACCAATTACATTATCATATAGAAGAGAATTATACTGCAAATAAAACATAATATTGTATGTAATGTAGCTTTCTTGTGGAGGTAATGGAACGGAATTTAAGTGGATTTAGGTTTTGGGGTTTCTGTAAAATAATTTCTACCCTAAAATTATAAGAAATCTAAAACCCACTTAAATTTCGTTCCTACCGCTACTTAAACATTAAATCTTTGATAAGCTAAATCAAGTCAAGTTAATGTTTGAATTTCCTGATTGTGTTACGTTACACCTGATCTAGAAATTCGATCGAGATATCAACCAATCATAATGATAATTATATACAATATTAAACCTACTTTCGCGCTTTTTCAGACTTAGTGAATAAATGTCGGAAGATACAAAGTATGTCTTATAAATTATTACGATATTTTTGTCGGCTTAATTTGACAGTCAACCAGGCTTTGCTTGTCTCGTCTGCTCCTTCGAATTTTTGTACGAGTGGCAAAGCTTTTCTCTTGTTTGCAAGTCAACGAAGAATGGTTGGTTGCCAAAGGTCTGAATATCGCGTCTTTTTTTGAATTCCTGCTGTATATGTATTGATTCGTAAGTACTCCACTAATTCTGGCTTTTATTATAGTCCTGTGCCCAAAAAATCAGCCATTTATACCAGGACCGGAGATAAAGGTTGTTCCCTTTGTAAAATTCCACGTTCGAGACATGAATAATATATATAATATATATATATATTTTTTTTTTTTTTTTTTTTTTATAGGAACATCAAGTCTTTATAACGGTGAACGAAGGCCAAAAAATGATGATATCTTTCATTCATTAGGAACCGTGGATGAGTTAAATTCTAGTATTGGGTAATCATCCAAGTAGACAATTATTAATAATTATGGATGGTTTTTAATAATTCTTCATTTATATTAATAGAATCGCTAATTATTATTGTAAAAAGGCCGGAAATGGATTAGATGAAAAATTAATCGAGGTATAATTTGTTAACTCGAAAGTTATATTTACAAAACCTCTATTAAAAAAAGAAAAACTTTTTTTTAATCATTAGATACAATGTAAATTGATCGAGATTGGTTCTAATATTGCAACACCACGAAGCTCTTCAAATGAATCTAAATTATGTAAGTGAAGAGTAATAATAAATATTCCACAGTAAATTTTAAAAAATATTGACAAGTTTTCATTTCACCATTAAGCTTATACATCTTTCGATGATGAAATTGTTACGACTTTGGAATCTTGGGTTGATCATTATGATTCTGTAAACACATGCACATTCTTTTATTTTAATTATTGATATCATTCAGAACTAGAAATCAGATCCGGTACCAAAATCTTTAATTTCGACCGCTAAACAAATTACGCGTTCTTTTTACTAGCAACTTCCTCCATTGAAAAATTTCATTTTACCTTCGGGTGGAGAGTGTGCTGTATTTTTGCATCAATGTCGCTCGGTATGAATTGTAATTTTTTAAACGAATCACTGAATAGCTGAACGTTTTTACTAAATATACACATCTCTTCATAGATATGTCGTAGAGCTGAACGTATTACAGTACCATTAGTTGAGGCAGGAATTGCCGACAATGCTGTTGGAAAATACTTGAATAGGTATTTAAGTCTTTCCTTTTTCCACGTTGTATTCTTTTATTTTGATACCAAGTAATAAATAATACATTCCACTAGGTTAAGCGATTTCTTTTTTGTGGCGGCGAGATATGCTGCTATGTTCGAAAATCATACAGAAAACATCTATCAACAAAGAAGGATTGATAAACCTAGTAATTTAATGTCAAGAGACATGAAGAAAGAATAATATAATCATTTTTGAATATTTGGATGTCATAAAAAAGTGACATGTGACATGTTTAATCGTTTGTAAGTTACATTAATAAATTTTATTATTTGCTGATATTATTTGTTATTTCAGTTTCTTTTGGATACATACTTACTTAGTATGGATGTGTGTTCATATAGAATTATTTTTATATAACTGCATTATGAAATAAATATATGCAATTATAAAGAATAAAAAATAAAGAAGCAATTTATAAATTTTTTATGATAAAATGTGTAATTAAAACAAAGCTATACTAACAAAATGATTGGTGATTTGTCACCAGTGTTATCAATAAAAATCTAAATAATACGTATGAAATCAAAAAAAAGCGTATCCCAGATTGCATGGGAATTTTGTAAGTTATTTTGACGGAATTAGAGCTTTAGAATTAGGGTTTTGAATAAATAAAAAAAAAAATTTAATTAATATATTTTGGGCCAACATTACAACTGCCCGATTCCGAAACAAGAGTACAATAATTATTAAAACTTTTTTTTTAAAAAAACCATCCTTTTCGATTTACAGAGCCATCCTTTTTGATTCATAACAAAGGCCCACTTTTTTGATACTATTCCATATGACTATATGATTTAACCTTCTAACCCTAATAAAAAGGTGAGCCCTTTTTATGTTTTTATGAATCAAAAAGAATGGACACAGTGAATCAAAAATGATGAAATTACATTGTTTGGAGCATTGCTATTTATACCCCCCAATTTTGCTATTCATATCCTCTATATTTTGCTACATATTCTCTACAATAACAAAATTTATAATTACTTGGTATCCCGTGATCTTGATATATCGATCGGGGTATTATAAAAATATTTGTGACACATATTATCGAAATGACTAGAACACTGATTGTCCATGTGATCAATTATGTTGTATCACAGTTCTTATAGAAATGGGAGGTATGAATAGTAAAAATAGAGGATACATGTAAATACCAATATCCTTCTTTTTTTATATAAAGTTATATATATACTTTGGGTATATTAACTGATTTAACCAATAAATAACAGATATGTTCTATAACTGTTAAAAAACTTATTACTATCAGATTTCTATATTATATAGGGTTTATAGCCAATCCAATTAATTTAGCCTTAATCCTGATCTCTATTTATAAAACCCGTTCCTGGTTGATATTAAATGTTTATTAACATTAATTTAACAAATTGAATTGATTTGAGTTTGGCACCATTGATCGAAAATGAGATATATTTTTGGGATTAGTTGAACCCAAATTAAGTAGAATCCGGGTTCCCAAACTCAAACTAAATAACATAATTCAAAAAAAAAAAAATGAGTTGGGTCGTAACCTTAATCTAATCCGTTCAAAAAACCTCTACTATAATCCTCGGCTCCCATTGCTTGAAAAACCGCAAGTTCGGATGATTCTATATCCCTAGTAGGGTCTCTTTCAGGTGACAAGAAGTCAGACGGTTGTTCTTCAGTACGAGGTTGTGTTAACAGTATTAATCTACCATCAGTATCAGAATATGCACCCTCATCCTCAATTTCTTCTTCAACTTCATCCTCGCCTTCATCAAAATCTTCAAGATCGTCATCAAGATCTTCGTCTTCATCCTCTTCATCTTCCTCTTCTTCACCGTCATCATATTCTGAGTCATCATCTGCTATGTCATCTGCCGCTACTATTTCATCATCCTATGTAACAATTGTAGCTGTGAATTCCAATATACAATAATAATTAGAAAAAAAAAAAGATTGATCCAAAACTAATGCACTTACAGAATAACTTTCTCCCGATTTGAATCTGTAAACACCAGGAATAGGTGTTCGCTTACATTTATTCTTTACTGCTTGTAACTTGTATAGAATAGAATTATTAAATTAGGATCAATAACTTAATAATGAGACATGCTGATGAAATTGCAGTCGAAGTAATACTTGAGCTTCATACTCCTCCTCCTCTTTATCCAAAGCGACTGCTTCGTTCACCATAGCATGCCTGTACCAAGAATGAACTACAGTCCTAGGTTCAAGAGACGGTGTCCAAAGGTGAGGAAATGACATGATAGAATATAGTTTTGAAATTTGAATAATATAATGTGTAATGAATGGATTTACATGTTTATTATTTATATATATACAAATTTAATGAAATTCGATTGGTCAATCATTCGAATAAGTACGCGAATCGCGATTTTTTACATTTAGTGTTACAGCAAAATGGTTAGAATTTATTTACGTCCCGATCAACTCGAAATTCAGAAAACTTCTAGAAATGAACCAGATATAACAGGAGAAGAGCTCATTTTATTTGATTTACAAGGTGATATTAAAACTATTGGAGATCCGAAAGGTTCAAAAATTGGAACATTGACATTTGATAATGTAAGCTCAAATTAAATACGCGTAATCTTTGATCCAATATTTGTCCAATATATATTTATATTTATGCTTCTTAGGGTGTCCCAATTCTTCAAGTTGGTCATTGGTATATCATGGGAAAAATTGCAGAATTAGAAAAACCTATAATGGTTATTAAAAAACGTGAAAAGGATTCTTCCACTTACATGTCCGATTCTCCAGGAAGGAGAGGAGAATCATTAATTGCAGAAAAACTAGAGGATCTGAATATTGTAGATTCACACGAAACTATTGAGTATGACATAGTTCATATATTTAAAAAAGCCTACATGTTTACAGCTAGACCTATACCTATGATGATGGATAATGTTTCAACCTAATCCTATTGCCCTGCCATGTAATTTTTTTTAATAAACGAGCCAATGATATAATGGCAAATTTAGGCATGATGCCTTGCAATCCGAATTTAATCAAAAAATTATCTTTTATTGTCGGTGATTAAATTTTATCGACCATAGTATCGAATAGTTTCGCGATTGGTTGCGATTTCCGTGAATTAATACGTATACACACTTAGAATACTAACTGGGCTAAAATCATTTATTGTTATATGATATTGCATGATTGCCGAGATTCAAATTTCCGAAAAACATTGGCATACACTATTATGGGCTAGCATCAACTAGAAAAGCTGAGAGTGGTTTTTTATTTACTAATATTGTGAGTACATGAAATGTAGCACTGATGGAGATTAATAGTGCTGAAACAATGAACATCCCAAAATTACAATAGAAATTAGATAGGCTAGATTGATTAGTTTCCCGCCTGCCGCAGCAAGCCGGCTGTTAAATGACAGAATCAGGTGACTAGGTTTAAGGTTAAATTTTCTGCAATTGTGTCTTTGCCGCAGTTTTAGAGCCCTAGCTGCCGCAACAAAATTGTCCCGGTCTTGATTGGCTAAGAGAGACGATCAAGTTACTATTATAAGAACTATAGTAAATCATGTGACAATTAATCATAAAAAAATTAGTCAACTTGTAACCATCTTTAAAAGAATCTTCAAATGCTAAAGAATTTATAAAATGATACCCAGAAATTAAATTAATAATTCCTTTGTTGTCAAATAAATCTAGAAGAAAATTTAGGTGCATCAATCATTAAAAAATTTATACTGAGGCATTTACAAAATGTTAATTTTTCTGTGCAATGCGCTGCGCAGTGAAAAATAATCACGAGGTTTCTGATAGATTTGATTTTATTGGTCTGTGGTCACAATATATATTAGCCAATCATATGAATGCTATTCTATACATATTCATTATTGCTTGCTGGTGGCACAAACGCGCTTTTACGCGAGAATATAAATCTCTAATTTTTGCATTTCATGTTTACGAGCTGTTTTTATAAACTTTACAAGGCTTCAAAATAGAAAAAGGGCCAAAAAAATGTTTATATTTGTGTTAGCCGAAGGGATAGAAAAAGTCCAAGTTGAATGTAATCTTAGAGACAACATTCAAGACTTAAGAGTTCAGATTGCAAAAGAGTTTAAAAACCGTTATCCACCTGAAACGCAAAGGCTTTTCTTTGGCGGTAAACAATTAGAGGACGGATTTACCCTCTTCCATTATAGTGTAAGGCACCAAAGTACTGTCCAACTGTACAAAAAAGTCGTTATTACTGAAGAATTTCATGAACCAAATCTTTCCACAACGTCGTTACAAGAAGCACCATTAAGTTCCAATGATGAAAATAATGAGGTACAATTGAACCAAGCCGAAACGACTGTAACAACTCAGCCTGCTGAATATGAGGAAGAATATGTTTGCAGTGAATGTAATAACAACCCGCGAAAGAAATGTAAAGAATGTGGTTGTAATGTTTGCGGCAAAAAAGATGATGAAGAACATACGGTTGTGTGTGATGAATGCCAATACTATTATCACTTTAAATGTTTAAAACCACCTATGGAAACTCTTCCTAAAGATGATTGGTATTGTCCACAATGCAAACACGATGATGAAGAAGTCATTTTAGCTGGGCAAGGGCTTGATTTAAAAAAATCAAAAAAGTCAAAAATGCCATCTGCAACTCAAACCAAGAAATGGGGCGGCGGAGTTGCTTGTATGGGTCGTAGCAAAACATGCGAGATAGTTGATCCTGATCATTTTGGTGCCATCCCAGGTATTCCTGTTGGATACTCGTGGAAATACCGTATTCATTGTTCAGAGTCAGGTGTTCATCGTCCTATTGTTGCTGGAATTAGCGGAAAGGCTGAAGTAGGAGCGGTATCGATTGTATTAAGTGGAGGTTATCCCGAAGATATTGACGAAGGAGCAGAATTTGTTTATACGGGCTCCGGAGGTCGCGATTTGAAAACGGGTAACAAACGTATGGCGCCACAAACATCAGATCAAGAACTTACAAAGTATAATATGGCACTTGCGCGAACATGCGATGCGCCTATTGATGATAAAAAGGGTGCAAAAGCTAAGAATTGGAAAAAAAGTAAACCAATTCGAGTCTGTCGATCAGCAGGATTAAAAAAGCATAATCCAAAATATGCACCAGAAGATGGCATACGTTATGATGGTTTATATAAGATGGTTGAATATTGGAGAGAGAAGGGAAAGGCAGGCTTTTATGTATGGCGATTTAGGATGCGCCGTGATGATGAGGAACCAACTCCATGGACTAAAGAAGGAAAGAAGCGAATCGCCGATTTAGGGTTAAAAATGTATATCCCCGAAGGTTTTGAAATTAGGAAACGTCCTAGGGACGATCCGGAGGATGCTAAAGGTTCCAAAAATGGATCGTCTAGTGGTGGCACTTCGTCTAAGAAAATTAAAATTGCGCAAAAGTATAGCCCACCTGCCTCATTAATTGAATCGATCAAAAAAGATAAGAAGAATGATCGCGCGTGGAAGATTGTTCTTTCAAAAGAATGCCAAACTTTGACTGAATTTATTTCAATTATCGCGGACGAAGAATTTAAGTGTCCCGTTTGCTTAGAACTTGTTCAAGCGCCTATTACAACTCCTTGTACACACAACGTGTGCAGTGATTGTCTTCAACGTGCGTTTAAAGCTGATGGTCATAAATGTCCACAATGTCGTACTGAATTCAAACCAAATCAGGATCTTTTTAAAGTTAATGATGAATTAGTGACAACGCTACGTGAAATTATACCTACTTACTCTGATCAAAAAAGCAAAAAAACAAAGTGATAAGATAGTCTAGTTTTTTTTTGCTTTATATATTGGTCAATTATGAACCAATTTTGTTAAATAAACTCGAGTATTCTTGTCCTATGGTGAAATTTAGTGTGTACGTGAATCATATGAAATTAACGTTTTAATCACATTCTTGCATTTTGACTACCTGCTATAAATATCCTGATCATAAGTTTGGTACAAATTCTTGAATTGTTAGTCAAATATTGATTATATTTTCATTTCTAGTTTTGAAAGTTTATATAAACTGATTTATAAAGCATACACTTCCATGCATATTTATTTACGTTATTTAAAGAATTTGAACCATCTAGAATAAGTTTCTCATGATTGTTCAATATTATAAAATCGAATTTAGATAGTTTGTACGTGGAATAGTTTGGGCAAAGTTGAGATTTGGAACAAATTTGAGGTTTTAGAAAGATGTAATTTCTACTATTGTTATTAGTGTCTCGCAGGCTCGAACTGAATCGACGCGTTCGGTTCGAGTTTGGTTTGGATCGACCGATTTTTTTCGAACTAGGGTTGGTGCACGGGGCATTAGGAGGTCTTATACCGGTCTTATTGTCTGGAGCAAACGACAGACTCATACTTCTACGCTCTTTGATGACTAAAATTACGTTTCTGATATATTTATAGTAAAGATATCAAAAACGTAGTTTTGGTATTTTTCCGGATGTAACTCTCCCGAAAAATTTGACATAGCAATCCTTTTTAGAGGCTGGAGTAAGCTCCGACATATACCAGTTCTGGTTCCTAGTGCTTCTATGCCTTTTGATAACCAAAATTATGTTTCTAATACATTTAGAGTAAAAATATCAAAAATCCAATTTTGGTATTTTTCATATGTAATGTTTTTAGTGTTAAACTATAACCTGTATAACTTGTAAGATTAGTTATAGATTATTAGTTATAATATAGATTATATGACTTATGATTAAGATTATTAATTAATATAAACTTGAATAAAAACATCACTTCTCAAAGGCAGAGACTTTTAGAAACTTCAACTTAAAAAAAAAAATTTTTTTTTAATTTTAAGTAGTTACACTAGTATTGGTCATTTTATTAAGCATAATATACTTAAGCATAATATACCAACTTGATACATTTGAATTAAAATGTAATTATATAAAATTTTACATATTAACTTGCAATTAAATAAATATATGTATATATATATATATTTTTTTTTTGTTAAGATGATCTTTTTGGTCTTTTAACTTTTATTAACAACTTTTGGTAATGTAATTTTATGAACTACTATAGAAGAGTGTACAATTGGTTACATATATAACTTTTCTATATTATCTATTTAAGAAGTTCACTCAAAGGTTTTTTTACCAATTGTCATATTTAATATTCTTACTTGGGTATTCAATTTTAAATCTTTTAAACCTGTAATCTGTGTTAACTTATTGAATCATATTTAGATGCTCAGATCATTATTTCAACCTTAGGACTATTTTATTCTTGAGGTAAATTCTCTAAAGTTTTTTGTATTTATTTTTATAGTTAACCTAAGTATTACTATGGCAGAACCAACATTTGTAATTAGCACTTAACTATTAAACTGTTATGTCTTTATAGAGTTTACTTAGATCCTAACATCTACTTTACAGCATAATCTCAGTATTTTAGTATACCCTTAAATTTTATTAGACTTCCAATTCAAATAATCTGTATAGAATTATAACAAGTCTATAATTATATTAGATTGGCCCAATATCTTTTTTTTCAGTTTATTCTGATAACCTAATTGGTAGTATCTTTGAAACTCTTAACAAAGATTTTTGTTTGTTCAGTTATTAAAACCTTGATATTTATTTCTCTAAGCTAACCTTTATAGTAGTGCTATTGAAGATCTAATTATCTCTTTATTTAGATCTTCTCAAATAGACTTTTTGTTACTTAATTTCTATAGATTTATATAACTACAAGGACTTATCTAGTATTTGTATTACCCAGTTGTCAGTTTGTATTCTTCTGTATAACTCTAATATTAAATAAATGTTCTATAATCTGTCAGTCATACTGATGCAGCTATTATTACAGATATTCTAATATAATCATTAGTAACAATTGCTGTATTACAAATATTATATAAATAATTATTTAAATTTTTAGAATTAATAGGATTTAAGCATTCA